CGGACGTATTTTGTTTTGAACCGGTTCCTTCGGTATTTTTTTGATGACGGTAATTCTGTTTTTTCGCAGATATAGCTGTTGCTGCTGGCTGGCGCTGGTGTTTGCGCAGGCGGCGGTGGCGGTTGGGGCGTTGAAACTGTATTTGCTTTCGCAACTGTTTGTTGTCGAGCTTTCTTTTCCTTGAAAAATTCCTCCAGCTGATTTAAACCGTCAAAATTTTGCGCAAGGTCAACAATATTTGCAGGATCAGAATACGCAAACAGTTGTCGATGCTGACACCCCAATATGCGTTTCAGCAGTTCATTGTTAATAGCCAGAATAACGGTATTGGCATTAATTGCAATTTGCACTTTTTGATTGTTAGCTAGTAATTCAATTGAAAAGGCTCTCCTCTTTTTGGATTCTTGTCCTTTTGCCAAGAGGAGCTTCGGAATTTGCGAAGAAATTGTTGCAATGATTTGTTCGTTGGTATAATTACCGGCGTGTAAAGTAATGCGCTTTTTCTCAAATAGGAACTTTTCCAACCCTGTTTTAGCATCCGAATTTGATACAATATCGTAAACCTGCAAACAATCCATGGTCTGGTCTGTAGGGAGATTGTACATGGAATTTGGGTAATAGAGTTCGACAATTGCAACTTCCCATTTTCCAGACAATGAAATTGTTTTGCATAATTTGGTTTTCCAACTGGATGCAGTGTTATTCGAGTAAATATCTGTGCAAGCATCACTCGGCAATGTGATGTAAAATGGCTGTTGATATTGCAAGCTATTCATTTTCTAATCCGCGTTAGCTCCCTTGCATAAAATTTTCCTACTATTGGTTCCTCTTTTTCATCCTCGAGCTGATACACTGGCTCCGGTGTATGTGGTATTACCTTTGCTATTCGAAAAGCTCCTCCTGAAAGTTTGTTTCAAAACCCTTTTCAAAGTCCTGCTTTTCTTTGCAATTCTGACGACATCTTTCACCTTAAATACTGGTTTCTTTTTTTTATGGTCTGTTTTCTCGTATAATCGATTAAACACAAGCAGGGAATTTTCTTCAGTTACATCCGCAGGACAAAAGCCATGTGAAGTGTGAGGAGTGTAATTATATGTCTTTACAATATTTTGTAGCCGATCGTAATATTTTGGAGATTTTCGACTAGTAAATAAGCGCCATATGCGCTCACGCAGCGTTCGAATAACGCGCTCCGCCATCGAACATTTTATGTCATCGTTTTCCGAACTGAATAGCATAATTTCTTTCCGTTTGAGTAAATCCCTCACATTTTTATTGAAAATTCACGGCCTTTATCAGCCTGTATTTTGTCGAATGGACCCAGGCGTTCTAGTATTTTTTCCAGTGCTTTTGCCGTTGATAAACCATCTTTACACTTAATTAGCTCGCATTCTATTTTTTTAGAAAAACAATCAATAGCAACTAACACGTAGCCATAATTTTTGTTCCACTTTTGAACTTTTGCATATCCATCAAATCTACCTGGAGCTGGCTATTTTTTATTTAGGACGACCACCGGATTCCTGCGGAATTTTCGGTTGACAGGCTTATGTAAAGTGTAGGCATCGATCCCTTCAAGAATATTTTGGCTTTTTCCTTGGAAACATTTTCTGGAAGGTTCTTGTGAAACCGCTCGAGCCCCCTAGGCTGCTCAGTGCACTAGGATTGAGATAGTGCTGGTCCATCGGAAACAGGCTGAGTAATTTTAGGTACCTCGTTGGCTTTATCACCAGCTTTAGACGAATCTTCTATTTTATTTTCGTCACTGTCATCAGAACAGCAAGAAGAAACACAATTCAATTTCATCCCTTGTCCAAAATTTAGATTTACCGGCACACAACCCGACATTTTAAAGAACCTTTAGCCAGCGGCCTTTAATACCTTGCCCTTTTATAAAAAACTTTGTCTGCTCTCGTACCCGCTCGCCACGCCGGCGTGGTACCTCTTCTTCCGCGCTTACAGCTTGGAATTTATTATCGGGCGATATTTTTGTTTCGTTTAGCGTTTGTTCCAGTACGCGTTTACCACGTTTCCCTTTTTCATTTGACGGTAATGAAAACACTGGGAGATCATATTCATCCGAATCATCCGAATCAATATCAGTCAGGGTTTTTTTCTTGATTTTTCTGCGTGATTTTGACGATGCTGTTGTGGCGCGAACTCTTTTCTTTTTTGCTTTCTTGGGTTCGGTTAACGGTGTGGTTAAGATTGATGGAGTCGGAGTTGTGGCGTCGTTTACACTTACAGACAGACTATCCAAGGGATTACCTTCTTGAAGTGCTCTGGGCTTTAATGCCATGAACCGTTCTAAATTTTTACTAAGTAATTGTGCTTTCTGCCATTCACTTAAATTTTGACTTGAAAGGATTTTTGATGTCAAATCGCCAAGCGATAAAATGTTGTTCGCTTCAGGTGGAGCCTGTAAAACTGTCAGCTCGGCGGCTCGCTTCTTGATATCCCGCTCAGGTACAATATAATGTACTTCCATGACCTTAAATTAGAATTTAGCGCTCCGGCCAGAACGCTTGCTAAAACTGGCAGCACTGCACCCAGAAAACCACCTTTTGTGTTAATAGCGCTTTTTTAGCTTTTGTGGGATACCGTCGAAGAGCTAATAATCGTATCGGCTTTTCCAGCGTCTGCAAATTCGCGTACTTTCTGGTGATAAATTTACGGTATTTTTTACGATATTCAAGCAGCACTCTTCCAGTCCTTTAATATGCTTTTTGTTACAATGATTCGCGACAGCTCTGCGATCTTTGGGGTTGAGCGACGAGAGAAACAGTAAAAAGAAGCAAATTCTTTCAAATGTTTGGTCATGCTGACGGCACTGCACAGAAATTCGGGTCGGTGTAAATTCTTGCTGTTTGTAAGTCCGTTTGTTTTCTTGCACAACATGAGATCTGACACGCAAATAATCGGGACAATTTGGTTTTAAATCCAAAATCAAAGGTTCAAATGGAGTAGCAGTAATCTTTTATACGCTTTTTTAGATGCTTAAATCCTGTTTGTCGTGATAAATAATCCAGTTGGTTGTTGTCGCGAACATTTTAAACAACACAATATATTGAGTATTTAAGGCAATATCCGACTTGCTTTACCTTGCTTGAATAAATTCTGTGTGATATAAATTGCTGACAAATTTCTGTGATGTATTCCTTGCGTAAATAGCTTTGTGGCTAACTCACTGCTTGCCATTTCGCCCGCTAGATCATCTATAATCAGCAGATTATTTTCTGCTTTAGAAAAAACTCCGAATCTAGTAAATCGTCCTTTAATCCTTTAACAAATTCTGTTTGTGGAAAAATCTTTTTAATTTCTTCGTACGAGTTTTGCCATTGACTGTATGCTACCACTATTCTGGTTGGGACGACGTCCATTGCATTTCCTTTCAGCATTTTAAGAACATATTGTGTTTTACCACTCATTGTTGGCCCACATATTATTGCTCCGAAAGGCCATTGGAACCTGAGATCATAACCAACTTCTGGATACATGGCGCAAATAACTAATATCGTCGCAACTGCGCACTTGAATGTGCAAATCGACTTGCAGCAGCTTAATTTGAACAGAGACCTTATCACAGAATACGATCCTAAAAAATTCTCTTGTCTTTTGTGGCGCGTATTATATCCGAAAAATTCCACTGCCAATTATATCGCAACGGAAAAATTACTGTTAATGGTGGACGCACACTACGCGAGTCACGAAACTGTGCAAAATACTTTTGCGAAAGCTTATTGCTACGGGTTACAAAGGAGCACGAATAACAAATTATAAGGTCGTTAATATTATTGCTTCATGTCAGCTGCGACGACAAAACCTTGAAAATATTGGACATTCGACTGGTGACAAATATTACGAGCCAGAGATTTTCCCGGCATGACAATAAAGATGAAAAAAGCCACATGCATAGTCTTTAATAGTGGAAAATGTAATATACTTGGTTTAAAAAAATTCGAACACATTGAGGAAGTTTATCAGGAACTTTGCCAACTTCTCAAATAGATTTTGCTCGAGTTGCTTTTGGATTTCTTTTCCATTTTCCTTAGCTGGTGATTCGACACTCTCCATTGACACCGCGTTGCTCCGCGGTACAATCGCAATCGTCTGAAAATGATACATATATGGAATATTGTTTTTTTTCCAGGATTTTTACAAAGTTACCAATTTCTTCTTCTGTTTCATAGGAGCTGAAGGAACTGTCCGAATCCGTAGCGTATCCTATAATTTAAGGTGCGGGTGACTTGCAGTGTTACTTAATTCACATCTGTCTCACTTACCGGAGTCGTTGGAAGCGTCCGGCTGTTCATGATTGAGCATTACAATAAATCCAGGAGTTTGGTTACAATGCTTGCACGTATTTTTTTGAACTGCGTGAACGCATCTGATTATAACTGTTTATATTAACAAAATACTGTGCATGCATTTTCCTGCACAGCAATTTGTTTCACAACATTATCTTTCTCGGTAAACTATTTTGCGTGTGAGAGCGCTTATATAAACACATGTGAAATTAACCAAGTCAAGTCATAAATGTCAGTGCGATGTTTGCTGTGTGATTACCTTCACTGCTGATTCTTCTCCGTTTGTCGTAGAAAGACATTTATTTTCTAGGCAACCGAGTAGATAAAGCTGTGACGGCTAATTTTACTTGTAATTAATTTCTACTAGCCGATTCCAGATACACTAATTACCCGGAAGAAAAGGACTTTATTTTATGGAGCAGCTGTCGTTTGCGCGCTGACAACAAATGCGTGCAAAGGATAGATGTTCCCAAAAATAACCTTTGAATTAAACGAAAAATTTTGACCGCAAATTTTAACTTAAGACTACTCTCTGCCCCGTTAATTATCCGAAAAACAAGGGTTGAATTTTTGGAGCGAATTGTCGTTTACGTGCTAAACAACAAACGCACGTAAACGATAAATGCCCAAATGATACCCTAACAAAACAAAACGAAGTGTTGCACAATTATGAGTAATTCTGTTTAAATGAACATGTACAATAACGTAAGCAGTTGGCAAGCGCAGCGATTATGTATTCGTTATTTAATCATAATAATTCTGTAAGTTTCACCCACTGTTGTAGTTGTCAGTTTTAAGTCCTAAGTACAAGTTGAAAAGAAATGGCAGTATGTATTAACGTCTGCTTCTTTTTTAGGGATTCCAAAAAACCCGCTACGAAACTGCCACAATATTTTGTGGATTTTGCCAGCCATAGCAATGTCTACAACATCAAGTATAGAAACAGGCTGGCGGTGGACACCACTAAATACTTGAACATCCAGTCCGACGAGTGGCGCACTAAGACGGTAAGAAATGTTTTTATGCAGTAACCTAATTATCAATTGCATTTACTTACAGGGTAAACTGGTGCGCAAGTTCCAGAAGAGCGCTCTCGACCTCGCGTACATTCACCACCATCAGAAAGCAATGTTCACTGCTATTATTGTAATACTGAAGAAGCTGTTGGACGTTGCACAAGCAATGGAAAAGTATCACATGGAAAGCATTGCAACTCTTTTGGCTTCCTGTCCGCCAGACAGTATGCCATCGCCTGATGAGGGCTACTGGATCGATGAAATATCAAATTACCCACCACATAACTCGCAGAAAATTACACGCATCATTGCTGACAACAAAAGAAACAAGACGAAACGAAACTGCTAGAGAAAAATTCACGAACTCACATTGGAACGACCAGTGAACTTGTGCCTACCGCTCAGCTGTCGGAAAGTGAGCTTAAGGCCAGAACCAAGGCGTACAAATCCTTGTGGAAACAACTGACTGAGCTGTCAAACACTGTATCAATGTATAACGACAGAATTAAGGAACACTGCCTCTCCCTGATAAACGGCTTTGAACATCTCAAATCAAAGCTAAACATTGAGAAGATGACCATTGGTAAGTGTAGGTATTTTAGCTTGTATTAAGTTTTATTTCACAGTTTCTTTTAGCCCAGGAAGCGTTTCTTCCCATTGTCCAAGAAATGTCCACTGTTAGCACTCTCATCGCTGACCGATACCTGACCCAGTCTGAGAACGGACGTGATGTCACCGCTGCTTTGAACAAACTGGATATTGCCATGAACCTGGCTAAGAACGCGCTGCATGGTATGATCAGCTTATCTATTTGTATTCATTTTCCTAAAATATTGTGGTTTTATTTCATTTTGTCAGGTGACCATCCGGAAGTCCGTGATGACCCGCGCGTGGATGACGTGGGAGAAAGCGATTCGGAAATGAGCACCTCGGACGATGACTAACAAGCTATTACTTACTGGTTGTCATTTTGCTGTTGTGCTTAAAAACTATATAACAATTCTGAATAACGTAATCGTTTTATTCGTCTAAACTGCTTTAGTTATTAAATGCTTTCACCTTCTTTATACCATCCCCGTACATAAATCAAATAATAATACAGTACAGTAAATGGTCAAGGGATTCCTTACACTATAGAAAACTAGGAGTAAATATTTAAATACAGTCAACAATTAACGATTTAATCAGTAACTATGGTAATATTTTTGTAAATTATTAATACAAAGTATATTTTTAGTTTTAATTTTTTTGCGGAATTTATTTACTTATCGTGACGTCACAAACTGCAGTCCGGAAGTCCAGTGGGGAACTGGAATACAAAATCGCCTTGCGGGACGCCCTTTACTACTGATACAGATGCAGTAGCGATTAGGGTGCAGCAAAATGCTGCATAACTGCAAATGCTGCAAATGTTTTAAAATCAATGGAGAAAAATATTCGCAAACTTTTCTTTTCTTGAAAACCCAAAATATTTAGATTATGCGATGGTCTACTTTAATTTCTTCTGTACGAATGAAACGTGCCGGTACAGAGTATCTTACCGGGCTAGATGCGAAAATCCCGGTCTTTAGCAAGCCCACACACTACGATGTTGATGTGTTTCCTGTGTATTAGCAATGGCTGCAATGCAATGAGCTGATTACCACGTTTAGCAGAAAGTACGCGTTGGCGCTTGTGATCCGCTGATAAAATTTTTATGCGCTTCAATGCGACAAGATTTTATAGTTGATATATTTAAAAATACTGTACGACTTTAACGCGTGATCGGCGCTGATCAGATAATTTACTAAAATGATTTAACGGGATGTAATTGTTTGCAGCATGCCAATTTTACTGACAACTTTGAAAATTTGTTGTGCGCCTTTGGTTGGTCTGTTCTCGAAGTGCAAAGATTCATTATAAACCTTATAAATTGCACTTTTTAACATATAAGTTTTTAAAATGAAGCCTAAAAGTGCAAACGGGATATAGAATATTATGTTGTATGTGCCCCAAAAAAACTGCGCTGAAGCACCCAATGGGGCAACTTCAAGTTTGCTGTTTCTAAATATAACGTATAATTATTTTACATATTGGATTTATTTTGAAAAAATCTTGTGTAAAAAACAGTAAAGATATAAATTTTTAAACATTAAACTAATTCCCCTAACTGAGAAAACCACTGATCGTTGGAATTCGAATGGCTCAATTCCAAAACCAAAAAAACCCAGTATGTAAAATAATTTTGTCTTTCCAACGGTACCAAGAACAGCCAATTCCATTGCGGCAATGGATTATAAGGCGCGTAGAACTGTCCAAACTTTAATTCTAGTAAATATGGGTTTTTGTTTTTCGAAAATGGTCCTCTGCATCGGCGCAGAAAAGTAAACATACCACCACGCTACCTGCAGGCTGCCTAAAGCGTTCATCAAATCGCAGTCTGCGCGCGGTAGCAGCGCAACGCAGCCACGCAGCCCGCGTGCGGTTGTTTGCGGTTCGGTTTGAGAGGAGATGGCAGTTAAGTGAATCGAACGTACTGCTGGACCCGAGCGTCGTTTTAGACCCACGGTACCTTTTGATCTTTTACACAGTTGTGCTTTTATTTGGATCTTCGACTTTCGAAAAAACATCCATTTTAAAGAGCATTTTTTTCTACCTGGGAAACTGTAGCTATTGTAACTCCTCTGAAAATGAAGGCAAAACAATTACCTCGCCTTAAGCGTGCTACAACAGCGCAACAGCGTCTTGTTGCAGACAGTAATTTTTGCCGAATCGGTCACCACTATAATCACCAAAAGACGGTCATTTTATTGAATTCCGCCTTAATAAAATGGGTTGTCAACAATTAAGGCCCTGGCAGATAACACTATTGCTATCCGCGGTTTTTGGGAAAGGTAAGATTTTCAGGTCGCAGAAGCCGAGTAAAATTTTTGGTTTCTTTACATCCTCGTAAGTGTTTTGCAACTCAAAAAAATACGCACATTTAAATGAATTACATGAGGGACATGTTGTACTTACACTGTTGCAGTAAAATATGTACAGTAAAACTTAAGTAATACGCTGACTAAACCATTCGCAACGATGGTACGTTTGGCGTAAAAATAAATATGGTACGTTGCTGTTATCCTGTATAAAGAATACCATATTCTGCACAAGATGATTATCCCTTGTCTCATTTTGCAGATGATGCCCACCGATTCCATTTTCAGGCCAGAAAAGCCGAAGATGCCTTGCCCTTGGCTAACGTATCCCTAACAGCTACGCTACGGAGCGATAACGGTGTAGTTGTCCGCACGATTGCCAGCTCTACCAATATATTCGGAGAGTTTACTCTCAGACTATCGGAAAGCTACCAGACATTGCAAGATAACTGCAATTATACTATCGTTTTCCAGTTGCCAGAGTACCGTGCTATTACGTTACCCGTGTTCGATTCCGACATCAAACAAAACCATGAAACGTTTCTGGAGCCATTAATCTTCATTCACAACCGATTCAGCGGTGCTTATTTGGCTACAGGACGGGTGCTTTTGGAGAACTCGGTGTATGGTAGGAATCTGAGCGGAACAACGGTAACATTGCGGTCTGGTATACGAAATTATGATGGCCCGGTCGAAAGTATGCAGAAAACACGGGATGGGGGAAGCTGGAGTAAGATCCGCCCGACAGGTTACTATACGGCTACTGTTCAGCGAGAAAACTACCGCACAGAATCGTTCACCGTGGTCGTAGTGGGCGGGAATTTCGGCGGTCCGTATTTCGTTGCGGATTTCCAAATGCTGCCGCAGGTTCCAATGACAAATGACGACATTCGCGTAGTACTACGAGGCGGACGTTTCAATGTACTGATGCAGTGTTCTCCGTGCCTGCAGTTAGTGGTGACAGGGCCCACTGAAGGAGGCCAGGAGCTAGCACGGATGGAACCTGCGCTATCCAAGACCAACAACGACAGCCACATTTTTAATGATTTCGCTGGCTTGATTGTTCAGAGAACCGTGATTAGGAAACAGCTGACCGGCAGCTATGAAATCATGGTGTACGACTGGGAGACCCGCCATAACCTGAATAGTTCGGCCATGAAGGATTCCAACGCCGTGGTGCAGATCTACCGCGGGAATGATTTATGGGAGCAGTTCTACGTGCCGAATCGCGATGGCAATACATGGACCGTGGCCAGCATCACTGGATCAAATGTCACGGTTATCAACGAGGTGACATCCATGATACACCCGACAGACTGGGAACCGGTAAGAAAAATCAGGCTGTAGAGGCTTTGTTATCGAACAAGCGAACGAAACGTGCTCGTGTTTTTGGTTTTAAAGGTAAACCGTTTGCAGTGATAAAGTGACGTCCGGCACAAGCCTGCTTTTGCCTAGCGCTTTTGCTTAAAGAAATGCCACCAAAGTAAAAATTTCGAAAAAACGAACTGCAAACGGTTTGCAAACGAACTAAGCAAACTACAAAGGAGGCATTATATAGAATCGCTCGCTTGAGCAGTTGTCCTTATACATAATCAAAAACAACTATAGACAACTACGAGTCTGCCGCAAAGTGTGGCATTTGATAATTTAGTAATTGAGGTTCTTTCTCAATTGGACAACCTTTTTGCCAACAGGAACACAGTACGCTGGCTGAATGTGCGCCTCTGAGCAGCGAATGTGAGAACACACTGGGATGCTGCGGCGACTTAACATGTAGCAACGGAATCTGTGCTGGCACACCCACGCAAGGTACAGTTCATGTCAGGTTAAAATCCACGCTGATGAACACACAGCCGGAAGAAGCGGAACATTATACAACAATCTCTCTCTGAGCAAATCTTTGATCTTCTGGGTTATCTGTTTGACAGCTGGCCTGGAAGAGGCGCCAAACGCATTAGACATGAGGACGCGAATTTTAGCCATCTGCTCCGATAGCTGCGAGGACAAACTGGACCAACCGGATTATTACGAATGCTGTCGCATTTTTATGAAAACGAAGACTCGCTTGCAAAGAATTTGATGCCGAAACTTAAATTTTGCAAGCTGTTGATACGAAGAAAATCACGGCAGAAACGAAACATTATATACATAGTCCTTAAGCACAGCATCACTAATAAATAATTCGTAGCACCTTGTATGCATCTTACCTGTCCACGGTGCACCACTGCACACAGGCCATAGCGACGTATCCGTTCTTCGAATTTTTTGGACAAATGCTAAGCTTTCATCAGCTGCTGCGATATTTCTATGCAAGTAAACAACTTTGGCACTCATAACAACAAAACCTCCCAGAGCGGTGCTATTGTGATAATTCGCTGTCCTTGGCGACCAAAATACAGATATATGTAGCAGAAACAGGCACCGTAGACCGCAAAGGCGCGCAGTCGCGGTCGTACAGTGTGGTCGGAACCGACAATCCAACTGTATCGGCAACGATTGATGTAAAGCTGCATGGTAAAGCGTAATTAGCGCATACTACGGCCATAACAGCGACGACACGAAGCAATGTAGCTTACCTTTCCATACGTGTGTACGTTAAGCGATATTTTATCATTTATTAGTGCAAAATGTAGTAAGACTGGAGAAAACGAGAGAGAATGTCCAAGTTAGGACATTAGTGGATTACTGGTTCCATGCAGTTGGAACCACCATAGAACCACCATAGAACCTCCATAGAACCACAATGGAACCAGGTACATAACCACCAGCCGGCATGCTCTCACACTGCCCCTTCTTTTCGGACGGCCATAGAACCACATAGAACCACCACAGAGACTACCTGCGTGGATCCATTGTGGTTCTATGGTGGTTCTATGTGGTTCTATGCTGGTTCTATTGTGGTTCTATGGAGGTTCTATGGGTCCAAAATCTAGTGATGTGCTTTTGTCCTATTCTATTGGTTCTTTCTCCATAGAACCACTTAATGTCCTAACTTGGACATTCTATGGAAAACGAAAATCGTGTCCTCAAAAGTTTCCGGTAAAGTATACCATAATCAAATATTTCTACAGAAAATCATAAATGAACAGCAATACGCAAAACTGAATAGTTTTTTTCCATTTATTCCACGCTGTTTATTGCGTTCAGTTATTCGAAAAATTATTTATTTAGATGGCGATTAAATAAGAAATGGTGTATACATAAAGGTTTTAACGAGTTGGTTGGTTTTTACGTCTCATGTTTTCTTGTTTCATGTCGGTCGGTCAGTTTGAATTTCTGTGTTGTATGTAAAGAAGTACATAAATAAGGCTGTCCACGGATAAGTATGATTTTAACAATACAAGTTGACAGCAGCGAGCTCGCAGGATGACTAAATACGAAGTACGACGTGTGACAAACACGCAGTAACGGAGTTGCTACGTACAACACGAATAGTACTTAGAAGCAGATCCACGAGAACACCACAATTTCTTTTATCTTCCTTCAACTTACAGTTACTGCTGTTATAATATTCTGGGACGTAAAGGAGACAGTCTGCCTCACGCACTCACCTTGCAAGTCTTCAACGATCGTTTAATTGGTAATTTGGTAATGTCCAATCATTACCAAAAACTTTTATAATGACGCTTTTTGGTGGCTGCCAGCTGAGGTCACTCAGCTGGACGCTTCTGACCACAGGTGGCAGCAGAGCGGAAATATCACCAGGCCGCAGAAGCGACAGAAATATCTGGCGCAAAAAATAAGCTATAAAATTTCAAAAACCGAAATGGTACAATTTCTCCTTAACCACTTGAAAACCGGTTTTCTTAAAGCGCAGCTTCAGCCGTACAAAAGCAACAGAGTAATGTGCCACATTCATTGCATACGGTACCCTCGCTATCTCTCAATTTTCCATTGCGGATGAAGATAATATTTTCGAAGTACTCGCAACGTCTGCTCTGTTTTCAAACTAAAAGCAGGATTTTTCTGAGACCCTAACCGGTTACCGCTCCTGTGTTATCTTTCAGCTCATAAGCAGCATTCATCCTAGCGTGACTTGTTTTACCTACAGTACAATAATTCAATAGGATGGCTTGCTGATCCGCAAGGATAACTCACCGGCCCAACCCAACAGGAGAGTAGTGCATTTTCCACGTTTTCATCGGCGACATACATGATCTGGGCTGCGTGAGCAATGATTGTATCCAAACCTCCAGCGTGTGGAATTTATTGATTTATATGCGTACTGTTCAGTATGTTGTTCTACAGTAGCAGGCGATGAGTGGCCTGCTCTCGCCTGGCGCATCGCATGCACGACGATGCAGGTGCATATAAACAGCAACTAGGCCAATCCTGTAGAGCTTTCGGAAAGCTGATGTGACTTTCAACGCATGAACAGTGAAATGGTGAAAATCACCCCATCTCAGAAGTGTTATCGGGTGTTGTTTAACCAACTCTCACGGCACAACATTCCGCTCCGGAAATCCCAAGTAAGGTCGTGCTGTGCCAAAACGTAACAGTGATTTGTGAGGCGTAATCAGTCCAACACAGGGGGCCCATCGTTGATGTTGTATGGGGAAAAATTTAATTGCAAATCAACCTTTTTGCTATGCAACAACAACGTCCAATTGGACGGCCAGCTTCCTTCCAGTGCAAGATTCTTGGTGGGCTGCATCCTTTGATTGTGTGGTTTGACTACGCAGTTAAACTATTTGATCGGAAGATGCAGCCGGATACGTGTACGTCTTGGGAAGAAGCGCCATCGATCAGGATTAGGGACAACGCTACTATGATTAAAGTAAGTTTCCCGCTATCATTTTAATAGCAGATGGTAATTTTACCGTTGACAAATCATCGGCATTTTACGTATGCAGTGTGTACTATGGTTCAGAGGGCGATTCGACAACAATAGTACGCATTGGCTTAAACTTCATAAAGGCCTATTGTATTTTCAATCTATACATTTTACGCAAGTGGCAGGGCGATTCGACAAACGGTGGAACATGGGCGTTTCAGCAAACCATTATTTTATTTACACTCGTTATGCAGCTACAGTACTTAACTAATACACATAGTTAACTTATGCTTCCCTGGGTAACGTGGTACGTTGCATTTAAAGTATGCGTTTTCACCGAGAATTTCTGAATTAACTTTTCGGGTAAGATAATAATCTCGATAAATAATCGCCGTCTGATTACGATTCTTAGTTGTAGTGAATATGAGCCCTTCGTCCATTTTAAAGCAGACAGACAGACAGACAAACAACTGATTACATGCAAATACACAAATCACAGATGCTGCGTTGTTAAAGTTAACTGTGCTGTATTGTTAAAGTTAACTATTTGTCAAAAATATTTTGACAAATAGTTAACTTTAATTTGTCAAGGAACCGCATTAGTTAAGCTAATGCGAAGTTGGCTAGAATTGTACGGAAGATTTCGTACCTGTGAGCACCAAAATTTATTAGAAATGGCCAAACATAAGCGTGAAATAATGCCGTTGCCGTAAAACTGCGTTCTTCTACCTGTTGAAAATTGTTTGGGACGATTTTTATTCTCTAACCCCAAAATGGGTCGATGCTTCTTAAAGAACCATCGGGACGTTTCGCTCTTTCGCTGGACACTTCCTATTGCAGAAACCTCGACGTAAGGCCTTTCCTTTTGAGAATTATGGTTTGTGGTCAACTGTCCAGAAGAACAGTTCGAAAACGGCTGCATTTCTGCTTCACGGGTGTTATAATTACCTCGACTCTCTCAAGGTAGGACTACCTGACGATCTTCGAGTAATTTCATAAAATTAAAGGTACAACTAGTCACTAATGCTCACTATGATACTTATTGACAAATTCTGTTTACTGCCATAACACTTGTATTTAGCGGGCTACACTTCACTTCGTTTTAGGGACATACATAAGAAACTGCAGAACTGAACAATCGTTTTATTAAATGAGCAGTTACTACCGCAAAAGGCATTATCGAAGACTTATTATAGCAAAGCCACCTTCCGTTGTGCCATTCACTCCGAAGATCCACTATCGCGCGGGAAGAGGTTAAGATTACCAGAGAGAGTACAGACTAAATCCAAATTGAACTCTGCAGATTAGCATAAAAGCAGTAAAAAAATTAAATAGTGCGAAAAGGTTCCCGTTGCCCTTCATCGTCAGTCACATTTTTTGACATTAAGATTTCAACGTGCGGCGCATGAGGACTGGGTACTCGTATATTTGCCGACGCGCGACATCTCCGACATGGTCAAGCTAATTCCGGCTGCCCAAGAAGCCCGAGATGGGCAATGCAGCAGATGCTTAAATCAGTAGATGGTTAGTTCAATTATTTAAATGCGTGCTGGGGAATTTAATAAAAGAGTATCAATTAACAAAATCAAAATCCTAGCATTTCCGTTCAGCCAAATGAAAGGCGAAGTACACATCTTCTTTTTCTACCGTGTCGCTAAATGTACCGAGAAAAGAGACTGCATTTCCTCTGTGAATCTGAATACCAATTCTTTGGCGTAAAAACTCTCCTGAGAGGGGGTTGCCTGTACTGTCGATAATCTTTCGCGACAGCTCTTTGAAGAATTTCTTCGTCAGCGGTCCGAATGTACCCGTAGTTTCGAACGCCAGCGGTTGAACGATGTAACGGTCTGCCTTCCCGCTATATTTTCCTATCTTCCGGTTTCCGGTATTTCCGCTGCACTACCCGGGACCCTGGACGTCTGGGCGATGTACTTTGGGCAAATGTGTCCGCCACGATTATATCCCACACCAGCGGCTTTCCATTTTTCCAAGGAAAAGCAGTCACCACGTCGGGCTGCTTTCCATCGCCTCTGTCTAAGCCCGCCGGCTCGAGTGACGAAGGCACTTTTGCCGAACTCAGCGCCCGCTTAGTTGCTTCGTTCAAGACTGCGGGGACACCGTGTCTTCCTTTCGCTAACTTGCATACCAATCCATGGTGTCCAAGACTGTCCACAATACTACCGTATCATCAGCAGATGATGCAGGTTCTCGTACGCCAACTAAGTTAGTAAAATCTCACAATCGAATTAGTCTAAATTTACAACTTTTTACCATTATTAATTATTTTTATCGTTTTCACTGCGTTAGGTTTTCTGTTTCCTTTTTTCTCGATATCTCCGCCCTATTTCCGTCAGCGCGCATAACAACGCGTCGGCATTGTTCACAGGACTGCGCTTTATCAGATTAATCAGAATCTACGATTTGTTGCCCGCCTGCGTTCAAAAACCGACCAGACAGTTTTAGCGCACGAACTGTTCTGTTCCTTTCGTCGGGCTCGTAATGCAGTTACGTAAGTAACTGGAGAAATCGGTGGTTTTACTTTTATA